GCGGTCAAAGCCACCCCGGCAGCAGCTGCCTGAGGCTGGGGAGCCCAGTGAGGGCAGGAGAGGGCACCGCCAGCCTAGGAAAGCAACCCAACTCTTCTGTGGACATTCTGAAGAGGCCAAGTCTTCCCCTGAGCCTTGGGAAATGCTGGGGAATGCACTCCGGGCCCCCTGACCATGCAGTCTTCCTAGAAAAACAGCACCGGCCGCATCTGCATTCCACGTCTGCTGTTCCACAGCCTTCTAGTATGCGGGGGTGATGTCCAAACACTGCTTGAAATATCCCTTGTGCCTGGAAAGACACAAAGTCTGCTCTACCTTGGCAAACTAGAAGGATTTCAAGCCCGAGTGTGATGGATGTCTCATGGCATCCCTTGATCAGTGGCAGCAGCAGCCTTGAATCTGTCTCCGGAAACAGTTCCCTAACTCCCCTACTGCAGTCCTGGGCTCTTTCAAAGGAACACACTGAGGCTGGAGATAGGGTCAGTGGCCCCTTATTCCGGTAGCAGAGATGGGATCCTCCCTGGCCAGGCAGCACCTGCTAATCTGTTCTCCTATCCTTGGAAATGACCATGGAGGGCCCATTTCACCCACCCTGTGAGAGGTCCTGAGTTTCAGGGTGTTCTCTCAAGCTTTCTGATGGACACCCATGGCCAGGATGCCCAGCTGATCGGACCAGTCCCCAGAGACCCTCTTCACAAAACAGCAACTTTGCAAAAGCACCACTTCCAGAAGATGACAGTGGGGCAATAATAGCTTGAATAAACAGGCCGGATTTGCCCTGAATAGTAGGAGTCACTGTGGATTGGATTTTTTTAGGTCTCTCTTACAAAACGTTTCTTTTAGTGACTATATTTTAATTTGACTAGCTCCTTGCTTAAATGGCGTATTAACCCGTCCGTGCTCTCATTTGTTGCCATAGAACCCCAACACAGGGCTTCCGCTGAGTCCCTGTGGGATTACCGCACGGATCTCGAGATACCTTCAGCATTAGTCTCCTCCTCACCAGAGTAAAGCCCATATTTTCCAAGGGTAAGCGCTAGAAGACTTTTCCAGGTGGAGAAGGGTAGTGAGCAGGGGTCCTAGCCTGCACCCTCAATCATACCACCCCCTTGCGGCAGTCATTCTTTAATTAGCACTGCTGCCACGTCACTGGCCCCCCGGGAACACTGTTTCCTCTTTAAAGTTCTATCTAAACATGGAAAATAAAAGCCCTTCCCTTGGTTCACCTCTGGTATTTTCAGAAAGGCTTTACCAAACCCAGGGGGAAAACAGAGAGGAAATAAACAAAGGTAGCACAAGTAATGGCGAGCGGTCTTGCTTCCTGGTGCTCCGTCGTAGCTTTCCAGTGCTCGTGTGCTCCCAGGACTTGCAGGCACAGCCTTTCCCATATCATCTGAGCACTTCCTGCTTTCTTGTCCCCAAAGGACAGCCATGTTTCAGGCCCTTTGCTCAGACTTCCTCTGTCCTGGCTCCTGGCCTGCCTCTGTGATAAGAGCACCATCTCCCTTCCATGGGAACTTCTCTCTGGATGACTGACTCCTTCAAGGTCAAAGCTAAGCGAAGGAGTCTAGCTTTGCTGCCCAGCCTGAAAGATTGCTCTAGGAATTGTACTATCCTAGGAAAGTGGTTCCCACCGGAGACCTAATCTCCTTCCCATGCTGCATATAAGTGACATTTCCTTCAGCCTTGTAGCCCCAAGAAAATGAAACTTGAACAACACAAAAAGCATGGCTAACGTGCAACTAGAATTACACTCACTCTCCCCAAAACAGAATACAGCTGCAATAAGATCATTTGGGACTGACAACCTATCAAACAACAATTTATTAAATCTCCCCAAAGCCCAGCCACTGTAAGCTAAGAATACACAGGGTATCTGCTCATAGGGAAATAAATCAAGTATGGTTATGGGGGGAGGTCTCAGGTAGAATAAGAGGCGATGTCCAGACCAGTAAGATCGTTACAAGGGAGAGTTGACAGAGAGAATGTTGCATGGCACTTGAGAAGTGGAGATAAATAAGAAATACAGAACCGATGATTATCTGAAGTGGAAATGCCACATAAAGAGAGCATCTAATCTAACTCCTTCATCTTAAAGACGAGGAAAACTGTAGTTTAGAAAAGAGGAGAGACACACAGGGAAGTAGGGGAGCCCAGCCCTACCCTCCATCTTTCATCATGCTGTGACAGGGTCATACGCTCGTGCAACCACCCACCACACTCACCACTCGCTGCCATCTGAAATGGGCTTCATGGCCCATGAGCACATGCGTTCCTCTCCCCCTACCCTGTGCACCTTCATTTCCTCTCTGTTGAAATGTTACCGATTCTTCAGTGCCTGGTTACAGGCTGACTTTTCTGTGAAGCTCCCCTAAGCTCCTCTACAGCAGCAACTGCTACTTCCTCTGCTCCCTCGGCCCGTTCTCCACGTGGCTATTGCAGCCAGTATCACATCTCTCGTGGCAGAAAGAGGTTTAGCATAGGCCTCGCCCATTTCTGGATCTGGGCCGTTTCTTATCATCAAAGCCAAAAACTTGCCATGATACATTGCGATAATCATCAGCGGGCTGGTATTTTTAAACTATTTGTAAGGCCGGCTGGTGGTATGGTGGTTAAGATGTCTGGGTCCCGCATGGCCATCTTAAACCACTGCGTGGTTCGAGTCCCAAACCTGGCAGCCTAAGAAACATGCCAGGCATATGTGCGTGCATGCCCAACATCCCAAAAGGAGAAATGGATGAGAAGGGATTGCAGCATGGCCATCCCCCCGGGGGATATTTTTTCACTTTCCTTCTCTTTCTCTTTCTCTCTCTCTCTCTCTCTCTCTCTTTTTCTGGCAAGTGCACATGCCCAAAGCAAACTAAAACAAAACCCAGCAGTCTTGCTACTTAGTAGTCAACCTAGTGGACTCTATTTGAATAATTTGCCCTTAGCTTTTTTTTTTCATAGAGAGCAAACCCCAAAAGACTGCTTATAGAAGGCTCAAGAACACAGAAGTTTAAAGTTGGAAAAGACCCTGGACAACCTCGTTCTCATGGATAAGAAAACTGAGGTTTCGAGTGGTGGCGACGTGAGTTGTCTGGCTGACTGCTAAATAATGGCAGAGTAACAGGAGATGCTTGGTTCTTAGGCTCTACAAAAATCATGGGGCCATGCATAATCCAGGTATCGCAAGGACTAAATGAGATCTCTATGAAAGCACCCAGCACCAGCACTCGTGAGTGCACTAGGAGCGTTAGCTGAACACGAGCCTCAGCTGTCGGTGGCAGCTGGAGACACCGCGTGCCTGCCTCAGTGTCCACATGTGACAGACCAAGCACCTCCTTCCACATCTGGCTCACGGCAATCTGCACTGAAACCATCTCCATCAGGCTTTTTCCCAAGGGGCACAGCCTACACATGTGTGGAGCGAGGCTGTGGGTTGTGAAGAACTGAGTGTCCTAAAGTGGAAGGCACAGAGAACAGAAATCTGAGGGAAGCAAGTGTGGGGGAGTGCGAGGTGGTGCTTCTGTGTGTGCTGGGGGATGAGAAGTTACTGAGTCTGATCTCGGGTCTTTTGCTAGTCACTAGCACCTTCATTTCCAACCCCAGCATTTGGGAGTGGGGTTTCCCAAGAGGACAAATCCCCCAAAGTGGGGAAGGGGAACAGAAAGGCAGTGCTAGCTTCACTCAGGCAAAGTGACATTTCTATTAGGGGCACTTCTATGTCCCTTCTCTGGCAGTCACTGCCACTTGCAGAGACCTCTGTCTAAGCAATTATCACGGTGCGTTGCTTTCGTCGGCCTCTCTCCTCTCTGATGACAGGGACCGTGTCTTTCTCACCCAGCACAGGGCTGGGTATGCGGCAGAGCCTCAGTGTGTAGTAGCTGAACGAGAGCCTCCTGCGTCGACACCCACCCAAGACACCGCTTACTGCATGAGGTCCTGTAATGGGCTTCTGCCAAGCCTGGTTTTGGAAGCCAATCAACTCTGCCTTCTTTTCCCAAAGAAAATACAGCCCCTGGCTCTGAAGCAGACCATGCTCCCCAGGCTCTTCTGGGCTATAATTAGAAAAAGACCTGTTAAAGACCTCAGTAAAGCCCCTTCCTACCCTCTCCCCAGTGCCCGTCTCCCCAGCTCCGAGTTTTCCAAGATCCTGACCGGCATGCACATGCTATTTTCCTCACTCAGAAATGCCTTCCCACATATGGTGTTTTCTCAGTCCCTGGAGCAACATTCCTACAAGGTTTCACCATCCCTCAAAATACTCAAAAGAGAGCAATTTCTGATTCCTTCTTTTTGGCTCGGTTTATAATACACACAGAGGGTTGGGGGGCATTCAAGCAGCAGCTGAAATGGAAAAGGAAACTGGAGTGGAGTGCAGTCCCGGATCTGAGCCCACAGCAACCTGTTCGTTCTTTCACAGGCAAACAGATGGGTGCCACTGTCCAGACCCCAGGTCGCTTCTCAGGTCACCTGTCAGATCTGGCTGCCCTGCCCAGGCAGGAGTGCCTCCCACTGACAACGCGCTACAGGATCTTGGGCTGCACATGTTTGTCATGGTCAGACTGAGGTCGTCAAGAATGAGATCACCATGTGCCAGGTATTCACACGCAGTAAGTCTGGTTTTTTATCATTTAATTTTATTTTTTAGTTTTTGCTATAGGGTGTATACACTCAGGAGGGAGAGAGAGAGAGAGAGAGAGAGAGAGAGAGAGAGAGAGAGAGAAGAGAAAGGTGGCCATGCCACAACTCCTTCTTCATTTTCTGCTCAGGATTTTGGACACGCATGCAACACACCTAGAGTATTGGGT